ATACACAATTATACACATTTATACACAATTATACACATTTATACACATTTAAACACAATTATACACATTTAAACACATTTAAACACATTTAAACACAATTATATACATTTATACACATTTTAAACACAATTATACACATTTATACACATTTTAAACACATTTTAAACACCATCGTCAGAGTTAATGGTTGAATAAATAAATAAATAAATAAATAAATAAAGGTTGAATCCTCAGAATTAGACAAAAGTTTGTGCTGTGAAGACTTTATTTAAATAACCGGCGTATTAATCACGCGGCGCCGTTCACGCCACGAGCTTCAGACTGAAATCGTCTCGTGTTGAGAAACGATGACGTTCAAATCGTTTTGGTCGAACACGTAAACAAAAATAAAATCATTACATGCAACATGCTAGCACTCGGTGCATGTTGGGGGTGACTCTCAGCTACTACCACACCTAATGTCAGCTCAATATCTATAAAATTGTCTTGAGTTGTAGCTGTTTTTTTTGTGTTTTATCAGCTGTGGTGACCAGCCCCGGCTACATTTTGGTGAAACTTTAGCTGGGTGTTATTAAAGGAGGACTGTATCAGGCTGAAAAGCAGCAGATTGAGTCTCGACCTACTAAAAGTTCTGAGTTCTGGTAACCGGATCCAGAACGTCAGTTTGAGGGAAACCAACCCTGCAGGGTTTGGTACTTCCTGTTTCAGCTAAAAAAGATGAAACTCGATCCGTCAAAGAGCAAATAAACCGAGACGAGATGATTAAATGTCCTTCAGCTGGGAGCTGCCATGGTGACGTTAAAGCAGTAGTTCAGCCAACTGAAGGAGAGATTACCAGTAAATATCTTACCTGTTGTAGGTAAGTCTTTGAACTTGGGACGGTCGATAGGAGACCCTCATGCTAACTGGTTAATAGGGCTGGGTGATATGGACCAAAATTAATATCTCGATATTTTTAAGATGAATGGCGATATACGATATATATATATATTAATGTTTTTTCTTTCCATAAAATAATAACAAAAATATATTTCTGAGTCAAAGCTTAGTCCCAGTTGTCACACAGGCACATTTATTAACAAACAGCTGTAACTGTACAAAACAAATGTCTCAAAACTTTTCCTGCATAACAAAACCAAAAAGAGCTGTGCACTTAAAATTTAAACAGAAAACACTCAGAGCAAACATAATGAACATCGGACTTGCTTTTATAACAAGTCTGATTCTAACGAAGTATATTCATTTAACCTTTATTAACCTTTATTAACAAAGCTGTTACATTGTTGTGTTGTTGTCTTGTTTACTGAGCTCGATTGTTTGGTTACGGCTTGTTTCTTTCGGAATATCATGGCTCCTATGCTCTTGAATGCACCGTGGCTGTTCCAACGCTACTGAACGCACCGCTCTGTGTAAAGTGCCGTGCGTTGGAGATTTTTCACTCCTGACATGGACGGAGCCTTGTTGTTTGAGCTTTACTGGTTACTGCTGTGTGTAAATACCAGAAGAAACGCAGCAAACAAAACGCCCTAAGCTGGATATTTGCCTCCGTGTTTTTTAATGAGAAGACAACTTCATACCTTTCCGCTCTAAACCAGTTAATTTCCTGGAGAACACCAAACCTTTTCCTTTGTAGCAGCTACCCAGTCATTGTCAAACCTATCAGGAATTTACATCCATGTCTCCAGAGTGTCTCCACTCAACAAAACAAAGTGATGATTGATATATTATTTATATATATATTGTATGTGCATCTAGTTGTTCACAGTGAGGCCGGGGGAGCAGGTGAGGGGCTGGGCTTGTATTCAGTGAGGGAGAGGAGGAGGGGCCGCGTGAAGGCTCAGACTGGGAAAACAAAACTGGTGGATTTTCAAGTATAATAACCACGTGAGACTATATCGTTTTATATTGATATAGTCTCATTTTATATCGCGTATGAAATTATCTCGATATTTTAAAAAAATATCCCGATATCGCCCAGCCCTACTGGTTAATTAGCGGGTGTTGTGTTGAGTTGTGAGTCCCCTTAAAATTGGTTTCCCCACTTGTCCGGGTGTTCAAAACAAATTCACCTTTAGGCAAAAACGTTTACGTACTTTATAAAACGCCAGTTTGGAAAAGTTATCTAAGAAAATCAGAAGACTTGGTAAAATGTTCCCTTTGTCACAATATCTCATCCTGAGCAGCACATTGGCGACAGTGGAAAGGAATGACTCTCTTTTAACAGGACGGAACCAGCAGAACCAGGAAGCGCGGCCATCTTTCTCGAGCAGCTGGGATTAGAGAGGACAGGAAGTAGACTCAGACAAACACAGAATGTGTAGTTTACTGTAAGAGACCTTTTTCCTAAAACTCCTTTAACGACAGACAGTTAAGAGCGAAATGGTGCAACGCTGCTGGGGAAACGATTTTAAATACAACACCGGGTAGAAGGCGTTTATATCATCTTCTTGTAGCTTGTTGGAAAAGTATGAATCAAAACAACGTTACTTTAAGGGGCGTTTACACGGCACCAGTGC